TGCTTTCTTTATGAAGCACTACGGTAGCAGTTAATACCTGTATATTTCTTCCAGGATGTTTATATATGCTTCATCGACGCCCTGATTTCTCTGACGGCAAGGGCGTCTCCTGACGCCCTTCCCGTCAGGAGACACCTCGTAAACAGGGTGGCTAGTTTTTCCAGCACAATCTGTCCTCTATATTTCAGCAGATCTGATGTTACCTGATCCCCACCAGCAGCTTTGCCTCTTTGCATGCTCTACAAAGCTTTTCTGACTTCTTCTATCATTACTGGTGGGGTGTCGTCTGGGTTACTGCTAGTTCTTATAGTATTAACGTCGTGGTAGTCCCTGCTACTGTACATATGTATCTCTGTAAAACTCCTCCGCTATTTTAACTATCCCATTCATATTGGTAGTTATTTTGCCTTCTTTGTCCCTTAGTGCATACATCCAATTTTTGCCTATCTCAAGTTTCCTCTTCACTGCTTTGACGCTTCCTTCGTTTTTCAGAGCGTGTTCAATTTTCTTCATGTTATACCATCTTACATCGGATGCCTTATACCTATTAATCAACTTCGAGAGCTTTCGAAGCTTTCGAAGTTTCCACCAGCAGGTTTTAAATGCGAAGCATGTTTTGTGTACTGCAAGCACTTTCGGTATCTATTTATCTATCTATCTATCTATCTATCTATCTATTTATCTATCTATCTATCCATCTATCCATCTATCTATCTCTCTATCTATCTATCTATCTATCTATCTATCTATCAACCTATCTATATCTCTCACCACCTAAATTTGGGTGCTGATTGATAGATATGTGGGGTTTAACATCCCAAAACCACCTTTTGATTATGAGAGACAACGTAATAGAGGGCTCATGAAATTTCGACCAACTGGGGTTCTTTAAAGTGCCCCCAAATCACAGCACACGGGCCTAAAGCATTTTTGTCTGCATCAATAATGCTACCGTCGCCGCCGTGATTAAATCCCTCAACATGCTGGTCAGCAGCCCAGTACCCTGGCCACTAGACCACCACGGTGGGGCTACGTCTGAGTGCTCTCGTGATGAACCTCTTACATCAATTGGCTTGAATCAAAATTATTATGGAAGGTCAGGATGGTTTGAAATATATGACACGCTGATCAAGGCATGAATAATGTCACAATCCCGTCGCATACGTCGCCAAAGACTTTCCGCCAAACGGTGGCGCATACACACGAGGGGTATGTGCCACAGGTGTTTAACACTTAAGATCTTCGCAGGAATGAAGAGAACACATGCAGGTAATTTTAATGCACGAGAGTTAAGAAATACTGAGATCTGTAGGGTCAAGCCGACCAATGCGAAGAATGATTGTCAAGGTACCAGCATGAGTAGAACCACGTCAATCTGCGTGGCGACCACTTATTCTACCACATTGTCACGCTAGGTCTCGCAACTACTTTTCAAATAGATTCTATAAACTTCATGACCATCAATTGTGGTGGCAGTACTGGCTTTCTAATATTTTGAACATTATACATGTCTCCTATGATACAGCCGTCACGTCGGATTAACATCAATAGTATAGTTAGGGGCAATCCGATAAAGTTGAATTATGTATCAGTGTATAAGGCTACCATCCTAGCGTATACTAGCGGTTCATATGAGGTTATCAGTTCTGGTGTTTTTTATACTCATTTTCCTGCTGGTGCCAACCTGCAACTGCCAGCAACTTGTCATGTGCCAACATTGCGACTGCTGAACATACTTATGTACCCATTTAGCGCCAATACATCACGTATCGCTCAATAAATTTTAAAACACGGTCACCTTCCCTTCATATGCTTCACATAACGTCGATTCCCACCATAAGTAGGAATGTACATGGGAAATATTTTTTTCCGCTGTCCTGGTATACTTAGGCAACACTCGAAAGCATCAACCTGCGTACAGGTGTGCTACCGAGTCTGTAATACGATGGAAAATGGCACGTTGACCAAAACAAGCTTAATCACCTTTTTCTCTGTCTTGCAGAGAAGGCATTATTAACTCTGTTTTTCTGTGCCGCCTCACAGTGACATCTGATAAATGGTCCAAGTTGCACATGAAACGTCAGGATTTTCTTATTGCAAGGCAAAATTAGTTTTCACTTTTGATTCCGTTGGCTTGGGCCACTTTTTCATGGTTACCTGCTTCTCATTCAGGCAGAAGCCTGCGGCAGAGACTGCGGCCGCTTGTCTCTGCCGTCAGTGCTGGGTATTGGTGAAGTACTGCTAGTGCCTTTATGAAACCACCGACCCATAAACAATAGCGTTAGCTTTCCTAACTATCTTAAGTACCCGAAGTAGAAGTAAGAAGGGGATAGTCAAACTCAGAATGGAAAGGCGCCTCACGCCTTCGTACACCATGCATGTGCTGCAAACACTTTTCTGGCACTTATTTCTGTTATGCCTTTCCTATGGGCCACTCTTCTATAAGCTTGCAACTCTGTTTCAGCGCCTTGCCAATACTTTAGTCATTCAATTAGTGGAGGCTACAAGCGTGGAAGACTTACACCAGGAGTAGCGACGTTTCAAAAGCAACCACGAAGGCCCCCGTACCACGAAGGTTCCCAAAATATACCGCGAAGACCTCCGACGACACAGCCTCCGTGTTGCCCCGAGTAAGCGCACCTCATGAACACAGCTTAGCGGTGCAAGATATATGAGTCTACGGCTTTATTCGGTCGGTGTTCGTGCACACATACGCAGTTTGCTGATCAAGACAAACGCGCACGAAGCGCACTGCTTATCACAAATTTATAACTGAAACCTGCTGTCACTGTTTAGTGCAGGTTCACTAAATGTTGTCACCTAAGGTAGTGCAGACACTGTGCACGCAGCTCCCTAAGCTTTCCTTTTTATTACGCGCGGGAACTTAAACTCATCCAGCTTGCATTTGCTACGTTAATCTTTGTGGCCCTGTGAACGGTATATATATCCAGCGATAAATATTCGCTATATTCTGATACCCAACTGATAGCCTTGCGCAGTAATATTATGAACTACTTCGTAATGTCACTCTCACTGAACCGACCCCAACTGCAGTCATTTGCATCGGCCAGGGCGCGCAATAAGGCGGAACGTGCCCTCTCTCCCAACCACACCAGCGCCTGCCCCTCAAGACCTCCCACACTGTGATGGAGCACGAGCTGGTGCCCGGCTGACGCGCTTATCAGCTGTCCGAGTACTATTATCTGAACTTTGGTAATTTTATGCTTCTTTTCATTTTCATTAGATGCCATGCACGAGTGATTGACTGCTAAAGCAGCAATTTCAGGAGCTGTTCTGTAGTAAATATATCATGTGTTGTTTGCGAAAGCGAGCATGGCAGAAATCAGCAATTTTCACAAGGACAAGAGCAGGCGTGCCCTTCTCTTGAAGATTGTTCTAAAATGTAACGTCTTTTTTACGGGTGGCCGAAGCACGCTCAGGCACAGAGAAAAAATGTAATTGTTTGTAACACTCTTTACCGAGAGAAGCTGAATGAGAATTATTCGTTTAGAACTCGATTGCCATGGAAACCTTGTCTGGCAGCTTCACAAGTCCACTTGTTTTTAAGACCAGATCCGCAACGGTGATGCAATCTTCATTGATGGCCTGGACTGCGATTTCAACAACGTAGCCTCTGTTGTACACAACCGTGCCATCGATGAGACACCGCAATATTTGGCAAGCTGTTGCTGCATACTTATAAATGCTGGATAGAGACGTGTTTATCGAGGTGTCGAAAGACACACCCGAACTAATTAGTATCGCACGGAGGACACTGCAGACTTCGAGCGGGAACACTCACACAAGTTAAACTTTCGTACCAGCAATGCAGTCAGCGGCATGAGCATGCTCGTTGGCCTTCCTGGCCGTGTCTATTGGGTCAGAACTAAGACAAGTTTATCATTGCACTTAGAAACATTCGTTGCAGGTGTCAGTTTACCATCGCCAGGCTGTTTGTTCGACAAAGTTCTAATCAGAAGCAAACTATCTACTCAAAGAAACAGTGGCTACGGCGGTGCGGTTGAGAGCGCAGTCTCCGAGCTAACATCAACCGCGAGACCAAAATCCAAAGGCGAATAGACCACTGTGGCATTTCGTGTGCTCCTGATAGCCACGCTGTTCCATTATAGTTACCACCTGCTGAAAGATGCTGTATAGATCTACTGTGATGCCACTGTGCTGCAATGTAAAACTGGAATGGTCACTTGACTAGTAACGAATGACTTTATGGAGATCGTATAGAGGAATCTCGAGGCTATCAGTCAGCTCTCTGGTAGGTGTTTTTTTTTACTAGTAATCAGCAAGACGCACAGAATATTATTCTGTTATGTAGACAACGACGACGGATCATCTGCGCAACTTCAAAAACTACTCAATTAGGCACGAATGTTTGACAATATCCTGGAATTGATGTTAATACGTCAATAATGATGGCGTGTCTAAAGCTTTTCAAATCAAATCAGCTGTATTGCTTTTAAAAGGCCGGTAAGTATGAAGGCTTATTTGAAACTTTGCTGTAAGCATTATGCCTGATTGCCTAATTAGAAAACTTAGCAGTTACTTAACTCGACTATGTCATGGTACACGTAACATGAGCTTTGGACAGACACACTAGTGAGCGAGTTCACGCGAATAAAATTACGGTCCACTAAGAGTGCGTCAATCGAGGAGCTACCAATTCTTATCTGGTGCGCGAGCTATGCGACGTGTGACGTCAGTACTCCTGGGGAATGCGCAGAATGGCTCTCCATAAGCCACGCGAAATTGCTCAATCTGGGCGAGTGTAGCTTACGGTACAAAACGTCTGCATTTCGCAGAAGCAGTGGCGTAGCCGGAGGTTGGCACATCGAATGCATGCCAGACCCAGATTTTTTACGCAATGGCGTATTGAACAAATTATAACCATGCAAAAAATATCTCTTCACCCTGCCCCCGCCAATTCAAGACTCCCTGAATTAATTTCTGTCCGCGTTCCAGTACAATAGTACATACTTCGTGAATCGACGCTTCATATTATTTTATTGAGATATTGCTCACAAAAAGACTTACTCATATTATTTACTATGAGTTCGTGACCTTGCTCATTAGACTAAAATAACTTTGCCAATTCTTTCGTCACACTCGGAAATAAAGTATTGTTTTGGGGTATGGGGTTTGCAGTACTTCCAGAAATTCGCTGTGCAAAATCTGAGGCCGTCGGTGTTTCTGTCAAAGAACTGATCGTTCACCCACACTTCACATACTTGCTTGTAACCTGTGAAAAGAAAATTATTGATTAGCTTTCCTCACAAAAATACGTTTTCCGACACCTATCAGTGCACTGGGAGGCACTAGTACCCTTGCATCATCTTTGTATAAAAATGTCTATTATTATTCAGCGAATATATTAAATAACATGGTATTCTGTGAGCAACATCAGATAGCAATGGGAGTAAAACTGAATCACAAATTCACACGCGTGTTTTTTTTTTTCATGTTTCTGTTGGCTGAGAGCTGCGGTTTTTGATTCACACACCTGAACCCAGAAAACAATTTTATCGCAGGACGAAAAAACATTACAGTAATCGGTTCATAATCAAAGTAAACCTACTGTAGTGTTCGGTCCTTCTAGTCATGCTTCAAGCGGGGATATGCCCCGTGTCACCGCTACAGTGATGCTGTGCAAGATACGTTATGATAGGTGTTTGGGTGTCTTGTGTTCGAGTGGCATTCTTTAGCGTTTCGTCACTGATTTGTTTTTCTCAATGATCATTGTTCAGTCGCAATTTATTGCACTGCATAATTAAAGTTGGAAAAACGTTTAAGAACACCTATTCTGCCCATAACAAGCGTAATTTTGCAGTTTTTCTTGGCGCTGAGCATTATACCGCTCAAAGGTGGCCCCTTAGATCTGTAAAAATTAGGCCCCATTCAATAAAGCTTACACTCAGCTACTCTTGTCTACCTCTCAACGCCACCCATAATTATCAACCCCCGTATATCCGATAATTTCACTTATGTAATGTTAGCAGACACTCAAGCAGTATCAGTGTCGTAATCTTTATGTAGTTTGTAATCACACATCTCATGCTCTAACGTGTCCATAACTACTGTTTTATGACTTCCGAATTCTTATCATTTTTCAGAACAAGTGAACACGGTGCATAGCATAGCGGTTCAATGCGATATATTGAACAGCTTTGTTATTGTTTGCCTGATTGCGTCTGTACCGGCACTCTAAGAGCCAACAGGAAGGCTTTGTGCTAGCGGTTTTAGAAAGAGGTCAGCCTGCGTTGCCAGTGTCTCTAAAGGTGCGGTGTGGTTGTGTGATTCCCTGACAGCACAGGAACTTCATGATAAGGAAGGGTGGTGAGCTCTCCAAATGTTAAAAATTGAGCAGATGTAATAACTGCTTTTTCAAGCATCAGAAAAAGAAATGGTTGCTTTGCTATGTGGGGTTTAACGTCGCAAAACCACCATATGAATATGAGAGACGCCGTAGTGGAGGGCTCCGGAACTTTGAACCATCTGGGGTTCTTTAACGTGCAGAAAAAGAAATGGTAATGATGTACAAAGGACCATCAGTTCAAGTTATGCGAAACTTCTAATTAGCTGCAGTAAGTTCGAGATTGATTTCCCTGTCGTGATGCGTAGGCGGTTTTCGACTGTTCGTGCAGCACTTTGGCAGTAGCATCCCCATCATGGCATGGGCTGCGTAAAAAAACTTGCAACCTAATGTCGTTAACACTCGTAGAATCTAATATGTGGATGCGATTTCCGATTAGTTGCTCTACACGTCATACTTTTGTCGGAATATAGGATATTTCACACTGCGCCTTTAAATGACGATTTGCAGTCGGAAGTGAATGACAGTCATATGGATGCAAACTATTTATTGCGCTATCTTAACAAGCGCAGTTCTAAAAAGAACAATGTAGGCTTTCACGATAAAAGATTCTCACACAAACAACAGTACAGCAAAGCAACGCCACAAGAAAAATCACCCCCATTTCAGTCTGACGGCTGAAATTTCAACGCTGTCACTCTTTAAATAAATGCTGTTACTGCTGAAGTATGAGACATTCGAGGTCACGCGTGCACACAACATTTACAGCTCGCTTTTCTAGCAGGCTGATGTCTCTAACCAAAGAAAACCTTTTAATCAGCATGGTGAGTGTAATACTAACATACTCATAAAGTTTGTGTAGAACACCACTTCACACAATGAGGTGTGCACTGCAGTGCTGTTCAGGCGTAGGGAGGCAGAGAATTTGGCAATGTTCAAAGTCGTTGTGCTGTACAGGCAACATTTAACGAAAAGGAATCCTTCGATGTCCGTCAAAAAGTAAAGGCCCAGTACGCTTTTTTACTCATTTGTACTACCAAGATAGAGTGCGACGATGTCATTAACAAGTATGCTTTCACTTCGTAATATTAAGTCATGCTTCTTCGACCACTGGTGTATATTTAGCGCATGAGGATAGGCCTTCTTTTGACAACTGTCGATATATCTATGTAGTGGTTTATTAAAACAAGCTATTGCGCGTGTCCACGAACACCACTGCCACGATGTATACATATCTCAAGAAGTCTTTCCCACGTTTTAATGCCAAATGAGCCTCTTCGTGTGCTCGTATTAACAATTATACTTTCACGCGGGGTTCCTTCACATATCGCGTTCTAATTTTGAGCTAGTATACGGTACTTACCTTCTCTTTTTGTATTCTTTGTCTTGTTTACAATAGCGCAATCCTTGTATACGTGGTGAAGGGTATACGTTGTATTTTCACCAGTTCCTGCAATTCAAGCGTTTCATAAATACTAAACTTTTTTACAAAACCTTTCAACACTAGCCCACGATGTAAGATCTCTTTTTTTTTAGCAATGTAACATCGCGCAGACGTATCTGGTGAACAAGCAAT